TTCGGGATACGTCAGTTAAGTGATTCTGTATATTCGGGTGGTTGTTTTTTATTTGTGTGTGTGCCGATGAAGGCTCTGTAGCCGCAACGTTAACTTTTCGTTTGTGTTTGTTATATTGTGAAGCTTTCTAATCTGCTCTTTGTTCGGTTTGATATGTTTCAGTGATATTCGGAAATAATTAATACCTACTGCAGTCTCGGCGGCAACGGATCCCAAACATTTTTTTATAGCCACCCCATTTTATAGAAGCAAATCGATCTACGACCCCATATGGTAAATACCAGCCTTTTTTTAATGGCGTAAATTGAAACAAGTCGAACATAGATGTTCCTGCATTCGGCAAACATATCTGTGTACAGGACGCGGTGGCATGATTTTGTTTTTCAATGTATTTTATTTTTATTTATTTATTTATTTATTTATTTATTTATTTATTTATTTATTTATTTATTTATTTATTTAATGTTTATAGAGAACCTAGGTCACAATTGACCGGCAATCTCATTTTTTTTTTTTTTAACTTCTGGACCCCATTTGGGGTCACAATTCTTTGGGATGGGAACCCTTGGCCTAGACCAGGGTTGTTCAACCTCGCTGAAGCCCCAGCATAAACAGATCATTAAAACAATACAAATAGCAGTGACCTGAGGGCCACTTGCTAGAGCTCCGCAGGCCAGATGCGACCCGCGTGCCGCCAATTAAATAGCTATGGCCTAGACGCTTGACTGTCAGTGCGAAAATCTTGAGTTTCAATATCTACACTGGTCTGAACTGGAAACACAATGATCTTTGCTCCCAGGTTGACCCAGCCTAAAACGGATACCAGGTAATGTCTCAGGAAGTAAAGGGGGCCGAGTGATGGTTGATGACCTCACCCACTCTTGTCAAACCCACCCATTCTTGTCAAACTCACCCACTCTTTACTACAGGTTATTTCCTAACTGTTTAGTGGTGCCCAGATGTAACTGTGCTGAATGGCTGTACGGTTTCCCGGATTTGTACCTGTGTGATTCTCATCCTTGCGGTGTTAATCCAACAGATTGAAATCCTCAAGGGCAGAAAACAATCACACGTCCAGTGTCGACTGAATCATAGAAAATATGAGCCTAAAGACAAAGCAAAATAATAAATATATATCATAAAAAAGTGCCGTTGAAACTACATCGGCGATGCATTAAAAATGGATACGACCAGACCCCTATCAAGCCCTAACATGGACACTGGAAGGGGAAAGAAAGACCAAGAGAGACTACGTAGAACCATCATCAGAGAAAGCTAAACCATGGGCTTAACGAACATCCAAGATCTAAAACAGGTGGCAACGAACCGCTCTAGACTCAAGAGGAGAGACTAACTAATTAAACCTTTGGCAGGAACACGTTCTTTTGTTTTTTCCTCTGTGTGTGCTAAGAGCTTTAATTCACGTGTGGCTGTGAAACGCAGACCTTAACATCTGAACTCGAAACGTAGACCTTAACAGCTGAGCTCGAAACGTAGACCTTAGCAACTGAACTCGAAACGTGGACCTTAACAGCTGAACTCGAAACGTAGACCTCATCAGCTGAACTCGAAACGTAGACCTCATCAGCTGAACTCGAAACGTAGACCTTATTAGCTGAACTCGAAACGTAGACCTCATCAGCTGAACTCGAAACGTTGACCTTAACAGCTGAACTCGAAACGTAGACCTCATCAGCTGAACTCGAAACGTTGACCTCATCAGCTGAACTCGAAGCGTTGACCTCATCAGCTAAACTCGAAAAGAAGATACAAGCATTGGAAATGCGATCTTTCCGAAAAATTCTTAACATAACATACAGAGACCACGTCGAAAATGAAAAGGTACGGTATAATTACCCAGCACATTGGCCACTGTAAACCTCTTTTGGTGAGCGGCTGGCCCAACGGTTAGAACGCTTGGCTCTCAAGCGGGAGACCCAGGTTCGAATCCTCAGTAAAGCGGGGGCAAAATAAAATCCTCACCTGCACAGTCGTGGCAACATCATTAGCCATGCGTCCGTAAATTTTCACGCTCAGACCCCCTGCCTACACCGCGAAAGTGGTAAAATAAAGGCAGTAATGACAGTTAAACCTCTTTTAACTACAAGACGGGAAATGCAATGGTATGGACATGTAATAAGATCTAAGAACCTTTCAGAAACACTAAAACAATACTAGAGGGTTCACTAGAAGGGAAGAGAAGAAGAGGCAGACCAGGCAAGACTTGCATACAGAACTTGACAGACTGGACAAGCCTTTGGTATGCAACCATGAAGTCCATTGCATCTGACCGTCAAAGGTGGAGGCAGCCAATTAGTCAACAGAAACTGGTGACCCAACGACAGTGATGATGATGATGATGATGATAATGCTGATGAACTACTCAAATGCAATAGCGGTAACAGTGGATAGAATTCTTGGCTGCCTACTCAGTGTTCATTTGTTCAAATTCCCATCTAGAAGAATAGGTTCTCTCATCCTGGGCTTTTGTTTGTAGGCCCAGTCTTCTTCTTCGTCGTCTTCTTTGCGTTCAGCAGCTGTAAACTCCAAAGCGCAGTTCTTGA